GGTGACTGTTGGGTGACTGATGTGGTATGGGGTGACTGTGGGGTGGCTGTGGGTGGAGTGTGGGGTGGCTGGTGTGTGGGGGTGGGCATAGGGTGACTGGTGGAGTATAGGGTGACTGTTGGGTGACTAGTGGAGGATTGACTGTGGGTGACTGGTGGTGATGCTAGGAGCTTTTGGGAGTGACTGGTGGAGTGTGGGGTGAGCTGGAGTGGCTGGTGGAATGCAGGGGGCTGTAGGGTGACTGGTGGAGTGGCTGATGGGTGTGGGGGTGACTGGGTGGAGTCTGGTGGAGGTATGGGGTGACTGGTGGAGTGCATGGGGGTGACTGCAGGGTGACTGGTGGATTGGGGGCTGGTGGGTATGGGGTGAGCTGGTGGAGTGTGGGGGTGGCTGGTGGGTGTGGAGTGGAGTGTGGGGGTGACTGCAGGGGGTGGCTGGAGGTGGAGTGTGGGGTGACTGGTTGTGGGGTGTGGGAGTGGCTGTGGGTCTGATGGGTATGGGGGTGACTGAGGGTGACTGGTGGAGTATGGGGGTGACTGGTGGAGTATGGGGAGCTGGGTGACTGGTGGAGTGTGGGGTTGACTGTAGGGTGACTGGTGGAGTGACTGTTGGTGTGGGGTGACTGGTCTTGTATGGGGTGACTGTAGGGTGACTGTTGGGTGACTGGTGGAGTATGGGGTGACTGGGGTGAGCTGGTGGAGTGTGGGGGTGGGCTGTGGGGTGACTGGTGGAGTGTGGGGTGTTCTGGAGTGAGCTGGTGGAGTATGGGGTGGCTGTAGGGTGACTGGTGGAGGTGTGGGGGTGGACTGTTGGGGTGGGCTGGTGGAGTGTGGGTGAGCTGTGGGTTACTGGTGGGCATGGGGGTGACTGAGGGTGACTGGTGATGTGGTGACTGTGGGGTGACTGGTGGAGTGTGGGGTGAGCTGTAGGGTGACTGGTAGATGTGGAGTGACTGGAGGGTGACTGGTGGAGTATGGGGTGACTGGGTGCTTGAGTGTGGTTGGGTGACTGTGTATGGGGGGTGACTGTGGGGTGACTGGTGGGTGTGGGTGAGAGCTGTTGGAGTGACTGGTTTATGTGGGGGTGTGCAGGGGTGAGCTGGGTGGAGTGGGGGTGTGGTGGAGTGTGGGGTGGAGGGTGGCTGGGGGCTGGTGGAGTGTGGGGTGGAGGTGATGGTGGGTGGGCTGATGTGGAGTGTGGGGTGGGCTGGTGGAGTGGCTGGTGGGTTGGGGGTGACTGGTGGGTGTGGCTAGGAGTGAGCTGGTGGAGGTTGGGTGACTGGTGGAGTGTGGGGTGTGAGGGGTGACTGGGTGGAGGTGACTGGTGGGTGTGGGGTGACTGGTGGAGTGACTGGGTGGAGTGTGGGTGACTGGTGGAGTGTGGGGGTGACTGGTGTGTGGGTGGAGATGGGGTGTGACTGTGGGGTGACTGGTGGGTGTGATGGGTGTTATGGGTGTGTGGGGTGGCTGGTGGAAGGTGTGGGGTGGCTGTGGGAGTGACTGGTGGGTGCTGGGGTGGGCTGGGTGGGTGTGGGGTGTGGTCTTGTGTGGGGTGTGTGGGGTGTGACTGGAAGGTGGGGGTGTGGTGGATGTGGGGAATTGACTGTTGGGTTATGGTGGGGTGACTGTTGGTATGAGTGACTGTAGGGTGACTGGTGGAGAAACTGGTAGTGGTGACTTGGTAGTAACTGGTAGGGGTGTCGGTGGAGTAACTGGTAGGGGGTGACTGTTGGTAGTAACTGTTAGGGCGACTGTAGTAACTGGTAGGGGCGACTGTTGGAGTAACTGGTAGGGTGACTGGTGTAACTGGAGGGGTGGAATGTTGGAGTAACTGATAGGGGTGATGGTGGTAGTAACCTCTGTAGTGACTGGTGGTATTAACTGGTATTGGACTGGTGTAGTAACTGGTAGAGGTGACTGGTGGTAGTAACTGGTAGGGGTGACTGGTGAGTGACTGTTGGTAGTAACTGTAGGGGACTGTTGGTAGTAACTGGGGGTGACTGGTGGAGTAACTGGTAGGTGTGACTGGTGGTAGTAACTGGTAGGGTGACTGGTGAGTAATTGTAGGGGTACTGTTGGAGTAACTGGTGGGTGTGACTGGCGGTAGTAACTGGTAGGGGTGACTGTTGGTAGTAACTGGTGGAGGAGTAACTGGTAGGGTGACTGTTGGTAGTAACTGCCAGGCGTGACTGGTGGAATAACTGGTAGGTGTGACTGGTGGTAGTAACTGGTAGGTGACTGTTGGTAGTAATTGGTAGGTGACTGTTGGTAGTAACTGGTAGGTGTGACTGGTGAGTAACTGGTAGGTGTGACTGGTGGTAGTAACTGGTAGGTGACTGGTGTAAAAACTGGAAGGTGACTGTTGGTAGTAACTGGTGGAGTAACTGGTAGGGGTGACTGGTGGAGTAACGGTAGGGTGACTTGGTAGTAACTGGTAGGGGTGACGTGGTAGTAACTGGTGGAAACTGGTAGGGTGACTGTTGGTAGTAACTGGTAGGGTGACTGTTGGTAGTAACTGGTAAGGGTGACTGTTGATTAACTGGTAGGGGCGGCTACTGGAGTAACTGGTAGGTGACCGTTGGTAGTAACTGGTAGGGTGACTAGTGGTAGTAACTGGTAGGGTGACTGTTGGTAGTAACTGCTAGGGTGAATGGTGGAGTAACTGGTAGCACTGGTATAGTAACGTGGGTGGATGGTGGAGTAACTGGTAGGGGTGACTGGTAAGGGTGACTGGTAGTAACTGGAGTGACTGGTGGAGTAACTGGTAGGGGTGACTGTGAGTAATTGGTAGGGGTGACTGGTGGAGTAACTGGTAGGGGTGACTGGTGGAATGGTAGGGGTGACCTGAACCTGCTCCAGTGTTGGTCAAGTCTGGACCGAAACAGCTCACACTCGGTGCCGTCACAAAACTCTGATAGGTTGTTCTAAGAGTTCACAACTCTCTCACTCGGAAAAGTTACCCCTCACAGTTTTCTGGACTTGTGGCTTCTTTAACCATGAACTGTGACCCCTTGAGGGGCGAGCGTCTGCCAGCTGCAGGCATGGACACTCGACTGAGTAGTGCCCTCTGAGATGTTTATATGCCTCAATTAGGTTGTCCATTGTCCGTCTGTAGTATAAGGTAGGCAGTTGCCGGCACTCTAATCTCTGGGTAACTGTGGTGCCGTAGTGCAGGCACCTGGTGGTCCTCTGGACATTTTCAGTTAACAGCTGCCTTACTGGAGGTGGCCCTGAGCACCAAGCAGTGACCATATAAACAGTTGATCACTGTATCCAATGTCGCATATAACAGACGTGTCTTACTATGAATCACGTGTGCGCAGTAAGACCATGGTGAGTGTTGTGTGTCTCTCAAGGAGGGCCTGTTTCCCCGGCATCTTTGGCACCGAAATTATAGGCAAAATATCGTACATAAGAACTTTCTTACGTTCTTCTTTTCGTAATTTGTATTGTTATTATTATCATTTGATTATAAATAACATGCACACCAGGTGAAATAATATTTGATATTAACAACTGCTGTTAAACTCAAGTACACCATGTACAAAGTGTAGTTATAGATATAATACTGTAGTGTACAGTAATAGCAACAAATCTGCATTGGATCGTTCTTCACCGGAATAATTAAAATTAAAAAAAGAACAATTACTGTATATTAATTTATTATAGATTACATTAAATATCTCTGATTCTGGCTTGGGAAGACTGACTGACTGACTTAACACGTTTTATCATCTGTCAGAAAGAAGTCGCAGATTTTCAAATAATTTCAGAAATGATGGCTAAAATGACTTTAGTGAATATCTACTTGTGTTACGCCATGCGGCAGTATAGCGTCACCTAAACTATTTCTCAAATACCGTCATGGCGATAAAGTCACACATCTTCTTGTATTGGGTGTAGAGTTGTCTGAAACCCGCATTGCCTTGCTCCAGTCTCTGTCCCACATTACTGACTCCTCTCCTCCTCCTCACTACTTGGTCCACCTCACCGCTACTCGCTCCGAAGCCAACAACTGTCGGGTCGGCCGTGTTAACGTCCCTTCGTCTCCTTCTGAAGGCCCCCGCGCCCGGTTCCCGTTCAGTTGTCTTTTAACGATGTGATGCGCCACAGGGTTCATACCAAAGGCATCTTCCCCTCCCAAGGTCTTCAATGTCCTTCGGAGTTGTTCCAGGCGACTCAACTGTAGCTTTTCCTCTGCGGTCAGTTGGTCAGACTGCGCTAGTTCTTGGTAGATCTGAGACAAGTCAGGAGTTTGTATCCCCGAGTTGAGTCCTTCTCTTGTGGAGTTCTCCGAATCATCGTGTTCTACTCCTGCAGCAGCTGAGGGGGGTGATGCAGGCTGCTCCTTCCTCCCGATATAGTCTTCTAAACCAAGTTGCCATTAAAATCAGTACTAAAGTTATCTGAGCCTAGAGTCTCTCCTGAACCATCACTAAACTCTCCTCCCTCGGCCACACCCTCTTCATACATTTCCACACCTTCGTCGGTGAGGAGAGAGTCATCGTAGCGTTCAAGGATGTCGTCAAGTTCTTCCTGCGTGATGTACCGGTACTCCTCCTGTTGGTGGTAGTTGGTGGTGGTGGTGTTGGTATTGTTGTTGTTGGTGGTGGTGTTGTTGTTGGTGGTGGTGGTGGTGTTGGTATTGTTGTTGGTGGTGTTGTTGTTGGTATTGTTGTTGGTGGTGGTGGTGTTGTTGTTGTTGGTGGTGTTGGTGGTGATGTTGGTATTGTTGTTGTTGGTGTTGGTATTGTTGTTGGTGGTGGTGTTGTTGTTGTTGGTGGTGGTGTTGTTGGTATTGTTGTTGGTGGTGGTGGCGGTAGTGTTGTTGTCTTTGCTGATGACAGTGTTGTTCTTGGTAGTATTGGTGTTGTTGTTGTTGGCAATGTTGTTATAGAATGGGTTATTGGTAGTTGGAACCCTCGTTGTCGCCTCCCGGTTATTATCGTACCTGTAGGTGGCTGAAGGTGACGCAGTATCCTTCCTCGCGTCTTCCTCCATTAACACAGCTCTCCATCCACTTTCAAAGTCAGCATTAATCAACGGATCGATATTTCTGAGCTGCTCGTCACCTAACACTATGACGGTATCGCCCTTGGGTATGTAACCGTCGCCAAGGATGTAAGGAGTTTCTCTGTTGTCCTCAAACAATATAATACTATTTCTTTTCCACTTCACTTAACCCAGCTTTAACCATGATAGGTAAGTCAATAATGGTGATGGTGGTAGAAGTCCTTCACCCCCGAGTAGGATATCCTGTTTGGGATCCTTGTGACCCCCGAGGAAGAAGGGAGTGATGAGTGTGGAATCGTTGCCCTGGAGGTACATGTATACCATCCCAGCATCACTGTCCTTCAGCTGGTTCTGTTTCTCGTCTCCACCTTCCATCATTTCAACATAAGTGTCTTCATTGTGTGTCTCGTTATTGTCCTCTTTTTCCCAGTAGTTTAATATGTAACCATTGTATTCGCCATCGATGTCGTTATCTTGTTCGTAGATAATATTATTGTCGGAGTAAACCTCGTCATAATCATCGTCATACTCGTCTTCATTACTTCTATCATCATCATAATTCTCGATATCATATTCAAAGTCTCCATCGTCATATGAGTCATCATAATATTCGGTTTCATAGTCATTTTCTTCATCATCATTGTCTTCATCTTCTGCCATATTCTCATCACTATCACCATCTTTATTACCCTCACCACTTTCCCCCCTCCAGTCATCGATATCTACAGCGTCAGCCACCAGGCCGACCGACGCTGGTTTTATTGTCACTTCAGGTGTCAACCGTGTCAGACTGTCACTGTGGGCCCCAGTAGTAGTAGTCGTTTCAGACATGACTTGAGGGACGACAGAGTCCATCACAGGCGTCGTGGGTGTAGGACGGACGTGGGCAGTGGGTCTCGTGGCCGTGTGTGATGGCGCGGAGGCATCCTCAGGCAGTCTGGCACAAGATGCCGAGATCGCGAGACTCAACAATAATCTGAAGGAGAAACAGATCACATAGAAATAGTTGTAGAGGAAACGTTTGTGTAGGTTCAACTATTTAATGTAAAAAACTACACCTGGGAAGGCCACCAGACTTTACGAATTACTAATCTATCGAAATCTTATTCCCAGCCAGTGACTAGAGCCATGGTGTGAGGCAAGGTGTTGGTTGGTTATGAAGCAAGAGATGAAGTATCGTTCCCTGCTAAACAAAGTCAAGATAATCAATAGCTGATAAAGACAAAGCAAGAATGTAAACTGGCGAAAAATGACACAGCAACACTATATTATTGGGAGCCGGTAGTGTGTGTGTGGGGGGGCGGGGGTTACATGTTCCACAACACAACTTAAAATGGGAAAAAAAATGCATCTTTCACTCTTGTCTCCTGATTATTAGTTTGTGTAACAAAATTTAAATATTTAGTTTCTTCCACACATCCAGCTGGAGTCCGAAACCTTTAAGATGTCCAACATACATGTACACACTGTTTATGTATCAACTTGAAGTAGCAACTTGTACTGTACAATACAGTACAAGTAGCTACTTCAAGTTGATAACAATTGAGTAATCTTTACGAAAATATTTCTGTGATTCCCTGAAGGACCATGCCTCATTAGGTAGCCAACTCATGGATAAATTTGAAAGAAATGAGGAGAAGTTGTATACTGTACATACCGCGTGGTGAGGGTGATGTAGATCATGACGTACAACTGCGTACAGTAAACTTCGACGACCACCGTCACACTGACACTCCTCTCTCACGCCACCACACACAACCTGACCATGATCTATATTCTCTCCCTTTTCACTTTGCTGAGTTGCTCATTTGTTTAATTATGAATACGATTACGACAATAAGCGAGTTATTAACAGGACTAACTACGTTAATACAGAGGATAGGAAGGGCCACATTACTCTATCACAGCACTAGGATATGACAGAGGAAACGGATGTCCACGTCACAGGCGGTCACTCTTATGCTTGTTGTGGGTCAGCAACAAAAGGTAGCCTACGCCTGTTTCATAACGCTATAATTAACGAGATGCACCTTACTTATTTTTCATTTATAAAATTACGAAATACGTTTTGTAATTCTCAATGGATAATAAAGGTGATAAGGGTAACAGAGAACAAACGACCACTAGTATGTTTATATATGGTGAAACGATTGATGGAGTTTATTGTTACTGGTTGACTAACATTAAAACATTAGGAATAATTAGCGATGTTTTGTGTGTTGCGTGAGTCAGCGTGTACTGAACTATGCCTTATCTCTTCCTCTTCATCTACACTAACTGCTGGTCGGCAGAATAAAATATTTCTCCCTCGTTGGATCACTACCGGCCACGGACCACAGTGACGGTAGAAATTCAGGTAAATTTTACTTTTAGTCCTATAATCTTCTAGCGACTCAAAAATTTATTTTTCCTGTATTTTGAATGAATTTTACCTTTAAAACTGTCATGAGCCCCCTACCCCCAACAATAATGGGGACCCGTGGGAAACGGGGGTGTAGTGGATACTCTCCCCTACAACTGCTGACTGGTCACGCGTCGGATACCTGCCAATCAGCAGCGAGTTCCACAAGACCGGGCTTCACTCCCGGACTGCGAGGTGATTGGCCCGTTACCGCTTTCACCTCAGCCATTCAGCAGCGCTGCTCACTTCGCACCTCTCTTCTCTGATCCTACAGAATCGCATAAATACTCCTCAGCCTAGCCGTGAAGGGAGCAGAACAAAGATGAAACACCAATAGGAAACATGAAGCGATCTGGTTGAGCCCAGATTCTTTCTACTCCTACTGTATTTCAGTTTCACCACTTTTCCTTCAACCCCTAATAATCTTCTTTCCCCTCATAACTAAAGACTCCGTACCGTGAAGGTCACTCTATTCAGTGCCGGATTTAGACATGTGGAGGCCCCCCTCATTATAACTACCCAACAGGGTGGGGTGGCGAGTGAAGCGAGCCTAAACATCTAGTTGAAGGCGCTGTAAGCCCCAGGAAAAATTTTTGAACCTCTTGGAGAAATTGTAGCCATATGCAGTTATTTTATTGGTTTTTTTTAATCTCAATTTCGTTATTCCATGTAGTTCATTTTTAATCAATTTATGTTTGTGGAATTCTAAATATATTATTTGCAACACAAACAATAGCATACATTAAAAATATACCGTTCATAGGAAAACCAGGTATTCATGAATTTCAAGGAGTAGCTAGCCTAATTTCTACCACGCTTCTTGCTGAACATAGTTTTACGTGATGGAATAGATAAACATGAATTTTAAAGAATGAAAATAAAAATAATCCAAATGAATAAACAAATAAATAAAATATTGTAATATGTGGGCCCTGGACAACAGCTCGCTGTTGGGGGTGCCTAGGACAGCCCATTACCTGTGGTGACTTACTCCCCATCTGTTGGGGGGCCTAGGACAGCCTTTACCTGTGGTGACTTACTCCCCCAGTTTTCTGTTGGGGGGCCTAGGATGGCCTCCATTACCTGTGGTGACTTATCTCTGGCAACAGTTTCTCTTCTGTTGTGGGCCTAGACAGCCCCTTCACCTGTAGATTTTACTCCTGGACAATAACAGCTCTCTGCTGGAGGGGGGGGCCCTAGGATGCCTCTTACCTGTGGTGACTTACTCCCTGGACAACAGCTCTGTTGTGCCTAGGACAGCCTCATCTGTGGTGACTTACTCCCTGGACAACAGCTCTCTGTTGGGGCCCAGGGACAGCCCCTTTACCCGTGGTGACTTACTCCCCTGACAACAGCTCTCTGTTGGGGAGGGCCCAGACAGCCCCATTACCTGTGGTGACTTGATTCTGGACAACAGCTCTCTGGTTGGGGGGGCCCAGGATGTTTCCTCTCTTTACCTGTGGTGACTTACTCCCTGGACAACAGCTCTCTGTTGGGGGGCCTAGACAGCTTCCTCTACCTGTGGTGACTTACTCCTGGACAACAGCTCTCTGCTGGGGGGGGCCCAGGACAGCCCCTTTACCTGTGGTGACTTACTCCCTGGACAACAGCTCTGTTGGGGGGGGCCTAGGACAGCCTCTTCTTTACCTGTGGTGACTTACTCCCCTGGGACAACAGCCTCTGCTGGGGGGGGGCCTAGGACAGCGCCTTACCTGTGGTGACTTACTCCCCCGACAACAGTTTGGTTAAATGAGACAGCCCCTTTACCTGTGTGGTGACTTTGATTCCCTGACAACAGCCTCTGTTGGGGGGGCCTCTAGACAGCCTCTTTACCTGTGGTGACTCTACTCTGACAACAGCTCTCTGTTGGGGGGGCCTAGACAGCCCTCTTTACCTGTGGTGATTCTGATTCCCCTGACAACAGCTCTCTGTTGGGGGGCCTAGACAGCCCCTTTACCTGTGGTGACTTACTCCCTGGACAACAGCTTCCCTGGTTGGGGGCCTAGGACAGCCCCTTTACCTGTGGTGACTTCACTCTGACAACAGCTCTCTGGTTGGGGGCCTTAGGACAGCCCCTTTACCTGTGGTGTGACTTCATTCTGGGCAACAGCCTCTGGGGAACAGGACAGCCCCTCACCTGTGGTGACTTACTCCCTGGACAACAGCCTCTCTCTGCTGGGGGGGGGCCCAGGACAGCCCTTTACCTGTGGTGACACTCCTGGACAACAGCTCTGTTGGAGGGGCCTAGACAGCCTCTTTACCTTGTGGTGGTGACTTACTCCCTGGACAACAGCTCTCTGCTGGGGGGGCCTAGGACAGCCCCTTTACCTGTGGTGGATTCTTACTCCCCTGGACAACAACAGCTTCCCTCTGCTGGGGGCCTAGGACAGCCCCCTTACCTGTGGTGACTCCATTCCCCAGACAACAGCTCCTCTGGCTGGGGGGCCTAGACAGCCCTCACCTGTGGTGATCTCATCCCTGACAACAGCTCTGTTGGGGCCCAGGCATGTGCCCCTTTACCTGTGGTGACTTACTCCTGGACAACAGGCTCTGCTGGGGGGCCTAGGACAGCCTCTTTACCTGTGGTGACTTACCCCCTGACAACAGCCTCTGTTGGGGGGGGCCTAGGATGTTCTCTTACCTGTGGTGACTTACTCCCTGGACAACAGCTCTGTTGGGGCCTAGGACAGCCTCTTTACCTGTGGTGACTTACTCCCTGACAAGAGCTCTGTTGGGGGGCCTAGGACAGCCCCATTACCTGTGGTGACTTACTCCCTGGACAACAGCTCTGCTGGGGGGTGCCTAGGACAGCCTTAATTTGTGGTGACTCCACTCCCTGACAACAGCCTCTGTTGGGGGCCTAGACAGCCTCTTTACCTGTGGTGACTTCACTCCCCGGACAACAGCTCTCTGTTGGGGGGGGCCCAGGACAGCCCCTTTACCTGTGGTGACTTACTCTGACAAACAGTTTTCTGTTGGGGGGGCCTAGGACAGCCCCTTTACCTGTGGTGATTCTGACTCCCCTGGACAACAGCTCTCTGTTGGGGGGGGCTCTAGGATGTTTCCCTTTACCTGTGGTGATTCTTACTCCTGACAACAGCTCTCTGTTGGGGGGCCTAGGATGCCCTTTCTTTACCTGTGGTGACTTATCTCTGGGCAACAGCTCTGTTAAATGACAGCCTTTACCTGTAGACTTAATTCCCTGGACAACAGCTCTCTGTTGAGGCCCCAGGATGTTCTCTTTTACCTGTGGGTGACCATCTCCCGGGACAACAGCGCCTTTCCCTGTTGGGGGGGCCCAGGATGCCTCCCCTTTACCTGTGGTGATTCATTCTGGACAAATTAGTTTCTTGCTTAAAATAGGACAGCCCCTTTACCCAAGCAGGTGACTTCATTCCCCCAGACAACAGCCTCTGTTGGGGGCCTAGGACAGCCCCTCACCTGTGGTGACTTACTCCTGGACAAACAGCTCTCGTTGGGGGGGCCTAGGACAGCCCCTTTACCTGTGGTGACTTACTCCCTGACAACAGCTCTGTTGGGGGGGCCCAGATGTCTCTCTTTACCTGTGGTGACTCCATTCCCCCTGGACAACAGCTCTCTGTTGGGGAGGGGGGGGGCCGAGACAGCCCTCTTTTACCTGTGGTGATCCATCTCCCTGGACAACAGCCCCCTGTTGGGGGGGGGCCTAGGATGCTCCCCTTACCCGTGGTGACTTACTCCCCTGACAAGAGCTCTCTGTTAGGGGGCCTAGACAGCCCCATTACCTGTAGACTTTGCTCCCTGGACAACAGCTCTCTGTTGGGGGTGCCTAGACAGCCTCTTACCTGTGGTGACTTACTCCCTGGACAACAGCTCTCTGTTGGGGGGGCCTAGACAGCCTTCACTGTGGTATCTACTCCCTGACAACAGCTCTCTGCTAGCCTAGGACAGCCCATTTACCCGTGGTGACTTACTCCCCTGGACAACAGCTCTCTGTTGGGGGCCTAGGACAGCCTCTTTACCTGTGGTGACTTACTCCCCTGGACAACAGCTCTCTGTTAGGGGGGCCTAGGACAGCCCCTTTACCTGTGGTGACTTACTCCCGACAACAGCTCTCTGTTGGGGGGCCTAGGACAGCCTCTTTACCTGTGGTGACTTACTCCCCTGGACAACAGCTCTCTGTTGGGGGGGCCTAGACAGCCTCTTTAATTTATGGTGACTTACTCCCTGACAACAGCTCTCTGTTGGGGGCCTAGGACAGCCTCACCCGTGGTGACTTACTCCCCCTGGACAACAGCTCTCGTTAAAATAGACAGCCCCTTTACCTGTGGTGACTTACTCCCCGGGACAACAGCCTTGTTGGGGGGGCCTAGGACAGCCTCTTTTGCCTGTAGACTTACTCCCTGACAACAGCTCTGTTGGGGGGGCCTAGACCGCCCCCTTTACCTGTGGTGACTTACTCCCCGGACAACAGCTCTCTGTTGGGGGGTCTAGGACAGCCCTTTACCTGTGGTGACTTTACTCCCCCTGGACAACAGGCTCTTCT